TTCGGTTCCTGATCGCATCGCTCTACCGCAGGAGCCAGATGCCAGCACCACGTAGAATTCGGAACAACAGTTGTCCTCTTGGAGGATCGTGGGAGGAGGTGGATGCTACCACCGTGCGCTCCCAGGGGTAGTGCCCAGAGAGGGTAGTCATTCTTCTCCTCCTGCAGGGCCGGTGTAGGGCCGTGGGCAGATAGGGAACGCACTGCAGGGTATTCAGGAAAGGAGAACACTGGCCTGCTCATGGCTACCCCATTCCTGGCTACTTGGTTGACACCCCCCTCCCCTCTCCAATTCTTTACAGTTCCTGCTGAAACACAAGGAAAGCAGACCTCTGGCACGGTGCTGTGGGGATTCCTCCTGCCCATCAGGCTTTCCTGAAAAGCGCGAGCCTCGAGTTACATCCAGGCAGCCATGGCGAGCTTCCTTTCACGTATGGTGAACAGCCACAGGGAGAATGTCGCCTTGCCTCCCTGGGCCCATTCCATGTTGAGGTCCCTGGGGAGGAGCATTAGCCCTTTGATGGCCAATCTAGCGGAGAAAAACATGAAATTGTTCTCTGGGAAGGTGGTCCCAGCCCCAGGGGAGGACACCTTTGAAAACTGGCTGGCCCAAGTTCACCGGGTCTTGCCAGATTGGAATATGTCTGAGGCGGAAAAACTCCTGCGCCTGAAGAAAACCCTCAGGGGCCCCGCCCGAGAAGTCATGCGCTCACTGCAGGCAGCCAACCCCCACCTGAGCCTGGCCGAATTCTTACGGGGCATGACCTTGGTGTTTGGGGAGCCTGCAAGCAGTGGGACTGCCCACAGCAAATTTTTTAACACCCTGCAGGCGCCCGGGGAGAAAGTGTCCCTCTATGTGATCCGCCTAGAAGTGCAGCTTCAGAATGCTATTCAGGCAGGGGCCATAGCTGAGAAAGATGCCAAGGTGACTCGCTTGCAGCAGCTGCTTCTAGGGGCTGAGTTGAATAGGACCCTACGGGCCCGGCTTAAGGAGCTCCTCAGAGTGCATGCCAACAAGCCGGAGCTGCTCCCTAATTTCCTGGAGGTGATCAGGATGATCAGGGCAGAAGAGGAATGGGATGACACTTTTCTGAAACGCAAGCGGTCCCGCCACTCAGAGCCCATCTTAGAGAGAGGAGCTCCCCCCGTGCCAGGTCAGGCCCCTCAGCCGATATCGCTGGATGGTGGGAATGAGGAGGAGGTGATAGAGATCCAGGACTCTGATGATGATGTGATCCTGGTGGAGTCTTGGGACCCTCCAGTGCCATCCCTGAATGCTCCTGGCCCCAGGGCCAGGGCCAGGGCTGAGGAGCAGGTGCTGGGTAGTGATCTCCCTAACTCTTCCTGGGCCCAGTCTCCTTCCACCAGTGGTGGGGCTGGGCAGACCAAAGATGGTCCTGGAGAGAAGCGTAGAGCCAGGAAGCGAAAATACACAATCCGTTGTTCATCTTGTCGGGAGGAGGACTATTCCCAGGACACCTATGAGGGGGGCAACAAGAGCCAGGTGTTTGAGAATCTGATTATTACCCTGAAGGAACTGACCCACACTGGGGGGAATGAGTCTGAGGATGAGGATGATGAGGAGCAGGAGGAAGAGGAGAAGGAGAAGGAAGAAGAGGGGGAAGAGGAGGAAGAGGAGGAGGAGGAGGAAGAGGAGGAGGAGGAGGAGGAAGAGGAGGAGGA